CGTGCATGGGTTTGATTTAAATTCAGGACGACCTCTGACACTTATTATTATTCCCAGTAGCAGGGGACATGAGAGGTGACCCTAACTGTAGTAGTTCACTTCAGATTTCACCTTATTCTCCTGCATTCTCCATGTTTCTCTCAGGCTTTAGCTGTTTAGGTAACTCTCTGCCACATTTTAAAAGGCTTTTAGTCACTCCTCCATGGTCAGTGAGGTCTGATTCTCTGTTAGTAGGCATGAAGATCAAAATTGTGGACAGCTAAGAGACTAAAAACAAAGATTCTCATTCAAATGCAGCTTCACGGTTCAATTTAGCATGGCCACACCTCTGTCGTTAGGAAAATCAACTAATTTAGAACAACGTAGAGGATAAACCAACTGTTTTAGTTGCATATTTGATCCATGATAGTCATAAAAACAAAAACAACACATTTTTGCCATCATTATTGGAAGTCAAACCTGTCTGAAACGAGATGATCCAGAGGGATTTTACTGCATATTCCCATTTTTATTATGGTAGAGGGGCCCAAAATATCTCACTACACAGCTTTTCTGTTTCAGAAATAGCTTCTCTGGATGATCATTTAGATTAAGAATCTCGCGGTCTCTCTGAGAATGTGTTCAAAAGCTAGCGCAGCAAGAAATAGCTGTGGCTGGAATACTGCTGAATCAGTCCCTGGGTAGCGAAAATGAAAATGCTTCCCAGGCAAAATCTGTTGGCGTTGGTGTTGAAAGGGTTTATAAAGTTAGTATGTGAAGAATGTGGCTTTACTAAAACCTTGTTCAAACCAGACTGGGCTCAAATAGCAGGGAAAAGAATGGCTACTATATTTATGGGGGGGAAAGAAACTGATGAGATTGCACACGCTAATGCTCAGAGACGGAGGCTGGATGTGACAGATTGCAGGCTCACAGGAAGCACATTGACATCTGTAAAAAAAAAAAAAATCAAAACATTTCCATCTATTCTAAGAAATTGCTGCATTTAATAAGTGAGGACAAAATGTAAAAAAGTAACATCAATTAGCTAAAAATAGTTTCTGGCCGGTTCAGTCATTGGGACTCAGGATGTTGTATTTATCAGTATCCCTTTATTACTTTCCCCACAGGAGAAAAACATATAAACCCAGAGACAATCACGCTACAACACTGACGAAAGAGTAAATATAAGTTGTAGAAACATGTGTGTAAAACAAGCAGACCAAAATGACAAACAATCAAGTCCAATTACATTTTATATTTATCTGAATAACGGCCTGAGGAACAAAAATTTATCCATCTGTTGGTCCTTAATTTAGGCCGTCTGGATACCTTTCCAGATGAAAGGAGTTATGATTGGGAAAGCAGAGAATAGAACGAGCCACTGGAAAAATGTAAAGAGGAAACAAAATCAACCTAAAGATGGATCCATGAGGAACTCCAAGACGACGAGGCGCTGCTGAAGAAGAGAAATTGACCATTCAAACACAGTGAGAGATACTAGCAGAAAGTGAATCACTGAAGGATAACACACTTTCTCCTCAACCAGACCTCCAGAGATGACATATTAGGATGGCGTGATCAACCTTCTCAAAACCTGCTGTGAGATCTAACAAAATCACAGTTGCAGAAGTGCCACTGTTTGAGGACAGGAAAAGGTTACTTTAGATCTTTTTTGTTTGTTTGTTTTTTTTGCTGCAGTGACAGGTGCGGTTGCCACACAATTTCTCCATAATAATATCATACTTAAAAAATACAGATGTATGCATAAACATTTCTCTTTCTGATTTTAGAAAAATGGCAGTTTAGAGACTGGCATCGTTATTTTTTTTTTTGACCAGTGTTTTTTTGTGTTGTTCTGTATTATCCTTTTAGTGTAGAGCCAATGATTACCAGCTGGCCGTGCACAGTGACATTGTGCAATTATTATAACGAGGTCCCAAAAAACACAACTATCTACTATGAGATAAAAATGATGTAAAAATCCACAACATGGACATTTTTGTTTGTTTGTTTTGTAAATCTAGATTATTTTATGTCATTAATATTGAGCTCTCATGTGACACTAACCATTCATATGTATTTTACACAACCTACTGAACATCATTTTGGAGTAAAAATATGAAGACAATTAAGCAGTGCATAAAAAAGATGCATTTAGGAAGTGTAAAGGAAATAAGAGGGAAAAATCTGATATGAAGAAGCTTAATAAAACAGTCATCGATCCTCTTCCAACTTTAATTTGTGGTCAGCATGACAAGACAAACTGAAGTACTTAGAGAGGTGAAAAGTCTCACAAAAAAAAGAGACAATCATGTTTATGTAAGCAAATGTTATCGGTTTAGGTTTACTTTTTTTTTTATCTATTTCCCCAATTCCTCTTAGCCGTTTATTAGTCAAAACTAAAAGTGAGTTTGACTCAAGTCTGTCATTATTTTTACAGACTATTGCTGAGCTGCTGAAATTCAAGTGACGTGAGAATGTTGCTGCAGCAGCATATTTCTGTCCTGCAGATGATGCTCCGGGATGGGATTCTGCTGCATGTGCAATCCTAATGATGATCAGTTCCTACTCTAAAATAGAATGTGTTGCATTCAGTATCAACAGCAGCAAGCCGCTGTCGTTCAGTGATAAGCCGCTCGACACATCTTGAACTTTCCTCCTTCTTTTTCATTTGCTCACAGTACAACAAAATCAAATTTCTAATCTGAATTTCTGGCTAACAATGAAGAGAAGCTGAAATTAAATCACACAAAGGCGGATGTTGTTTTCCAGGTACAATTGGTCACACTAAATCTTATTAAAGGGCATCTCCACTTATCGATTATCCACTTTTTTTTGTGCTGTCTCCCACACATAACCCCCTCCCCCCCAAAAACAATCCAAAAAAAAACACACACACACATTTAAGCCCGTGGTTGCATTTTTGACAAACTGTGTGAAAAAGTCTTCTGAATACTTTTACGAGGTGCTATACCGTACATGACAATTTTTTAACATTCCTAAGTGTTGAAATATCCAAAACATGTTTGAAGAAAATTTGTGTATCTTTCAGTCTTTTCAGTGTTCACAAAGACAACGCAGTGTTGATGACCAGATGGCTATAAATAAAAATCATATGCTTTCAACTATTGCCTGCATTATTTATTTATGTATTCTAGCTGTGAAAGAAAAATTCTTTTGAAATCAAATTTTCTCTCTGGTCAGCATGTTTCTTTTTTATTTTTTTTTCTTGTGAAATGTTTTACTATGAAAATTTGAATAGATCACTATAAATATTTCATCAACCTCCTGCTAGAACTGTGCAATCGCTCTACCGGCTCCCAAAATCCGGACATTGCCATCGAATTTTCACACAGACAATTCGGTCGCCGGTAGTAAAGCAACACTTGTCTGTGGGAAATGATTTGCGTCAACGTTAACATTTTGCTGTACGGTTAGTGTTTTGTCACTGGACCAGTTGGACCAGCTTCGTGGCTGAAGAGTCACTGCAAACGAGAGTTGTCGACTTTTCTGAAACACATGATCAATTGTTAGTCTGCAAACGAGAACAAAGCACAAATTCACACATTCTGCGACGCCTCCCAAATGAAATGGGCACACTCGCCCACTTTGTGAGCACACACAAGCGCAGCCAAAAGACACAGACTGCAGCACAGGACACACGGACGACATCATTCATGTGAAGATGCTCTTCGGTTCCTTTTAGCAGCTGTGTAAATCCATTCACCCAGAAATAACCTCAGATGCAAATCAAATTTGAACAGACAGCTTACATCATCGCAGCCTTTCATAAGCTCCATATTATGGTAATTGCACCTAGTTTTGTTTTTTGTTTGTTTGTTTGTTTGTTTTTTCTCGACAGATCTATTGCTGAACTGTTGTAAATAAAAATTAATTAGGAGAAAAATTACAGAACGATTCAGAACCCGTATGAATAAAATAACTTGTGAACGTCACTCACGTACAAGAACAGAAAAATAAACGATAGATTTGTTAATTGCTACATGTTAAACGTCAACGTTTAGCTGTAATAATAGAAAACATGGCATAACGGACTTGTTCACTACAGTGACTGATACATCGCAGTTCCTTGATCCCCACTCAGTTGGTTTCACACCACTTATTTCAGCTCGCTTGCTCATTCCAATGCTTACTGCTGCAGGTATTTCTCTGTTTCTTTACCTCAGCGAGTAAATCAGGAGGCCAGGTGCTAAGCCCTCAGCTGCACATCTTCTAGCATCTGTTTTTCTCTTACTGAGTCCATCTGGTGATTTTTCTTGAGCTTTATCTGGAGATCATTTGATAAAAAATTGAATTTCCAGTATGTGTATTTGGTAGTGCTACCAGTTGAGCAAGCAGCCAAGGCATGGAACACAAAGATCTTTTTTGCAGCCGTCCCTAATTTGCATCCTGGCCTCATCACCCTTTGATGGATGTCACTTCTGTCTCTTTGAACTTGCATGTCTCTCACCTCTCAAATTAAATCCATAGAGGCTCCTAAATTAACGGAAAAAATAGTGTTCCTTCGCTGTTGTCGCACGTACTAATTGAGAGGAAATCTTTGTAACATTTCAGGTCTATAAAACAAATAAAACAGAATTTGAATCATTGCAAAAAATGTTGTTCATTTCAAGTTGTGTTTTATTTGATCATGAAAACGGACAGTGCCTAAGTACTCAGTTCTTTATTGAGAAATGTTGACATTTCTGTTTCTAATCTTAAATCATCTCTGAAAAAAAAAATCGCTATAATTAAAAGGTAAAAGATTATAATGTTTTACTCATTTGTTTCACCATAAGATAAACACAAATGTGTTTTCTTCAGGGTGGAAAAGTTAGGACACCCTACACCCTTTCGGTAAGTGTCGCCCCCTACAGGAAGTGAGAGAAACTGCACATCAATTATTCAGCAAATAAATATAATCTGAAAAATCTTTTACAGATATTTGTCATATTGGATATTTTTGATGGCTTTAATCCTCCTAAACATGCTGAGAAAGCATAGAAAAGGCAACTTTAGCATCTGTCTAAATAACAGTTTAATATGGTTGAAATATGCCTCTTGATGTCTAAATGTGGTTGAAAAATTTGTTAGGGCCACTGAAATGGCCAGTTCTGGCTAAATTTAGATTGATCACAATGGGCCGGGAGAGCCTAATATTCTTCACAGCTTCACGACTGAAGTGGACATTTAAACATAATAATCTGCATTTGAATAGATTGAAGACTCCACCTTTTAAATATATCACAGCTGAAACATGCTGAGGCAAGGTAACATTTCATACTGACTATTGTTTGACTTCAGAAAAAAAAAAGAAAGCTTCTATTGTTCCTCCTTGTTTGTTACAAATTCGAGATTTCCAAAGGACAGTACAAAATGCAGTTTGTTGTTAGTCCAACTACAGTGGAGTACTGTTGCACCTCTCCAAGCCTTTTAATTTGAAAACCGGCACACCTGGTCTGATCTCTTCCAAGCAGTCCAGAACCGGGTTATTATAAGCCAGCTGTTCTTTCCTCTGGGACGAACCGGACTCGTCCTGTGTTCTGACAGACGTTGCGTGCGGTGAGATCGGCTCTTCGTCCTCCTTCTCTTCGTTCTGACCTGCCTCGCAAGTGAAACTGCAGCAGACAGTTGCCTTCGTTATCAAGCGGTCAAGAGGTTTGAGAGAGTGCATCCACTTGGGCAGGAAGTCCCAGGTTCGGAGTTTGGTGGGCAGATGCCGGGGGCTGTGAGCCTGCATCGTATTTACGACAGCAATGAAGAGAGTGATGCCCAAAAACGGACCCCCAACTCCAGCCATCACCTGCCAGCCAGCCAGGGAAAGGCCCAGCACCAGGGATGGAAGGAGCAGGAAACACAAGAGAAGGTACAGGATGGCAAACCAGCGGTATTTGGCCGTGCGTTCCCCCAGAACGTAAGCCATCCTGATGGGCAGACGCATGAACGGAACAGGATACCACAGCAGGATGCCAAAAACGTTGAAGAGGAGGTGACACAGAGCAATCTAGGCGGAATAAAGGCAAACAGTTGAAAAGCAAGGGACCAGACGTTTCCTCTTTCTTTACATACGTGTGAAATAAAATCCTTCGGTTGTATAATTTTTGTTTTGTTCAGTTGTCTCTAATAAAACAGAAGCGAACCTGGATGGAAGCTACTATCTTGTTCCCAGGACTGGCCAGAGCTGCCAGTAAGGCGGTGGCAGTGGTGCCGATGTTGGAGCCCAGTGTGAGCGGATAGGCCCGCTCCAGACTGATGACACCAATTCCTACCAGATAGGACAATAAAACATGTAAAGACAGAAAAAATAAAAAAATAAAAAACACCGCAGAAATTGTGTCAGTGATGCCTCATTGCTCTTCATTTGCCCGTTTGGTTTTATTACATAATTCCGCATCGCGTTAGACAGTGATTTCACTGGGATCTGAAATCCAATATGCAGGACAAGCAGAAATCTATGTTTGTATTAAAAGCTGTATCTTCTTATTCTTTTTGCCTTTTCATTTTATGCTTGGTTAATTACCTCTGTTGGATGTGGGGATTATTCTGATCTCATATTTATCACTGTGTTGCAGGCTGATGACTCAGTCATCACCGATTTTATAAGGTTCCTTTAGCCGTCCGCAGACTGCGCTGCTGATGAAAGGTGCTCTTGCAGATTTCATCAGACTCTGTCAGCGGATGTATGCAGTCATATGTGTTTATATTTATCTACAAATCAAACATAAAATAAAATAAAGTAAAAAAATCTGATATTTTCTTTCTCAAAAATAACTACATATTTCACAGGTAGTAAAAACAATAAACCTGTATGTTGGCAATTTATTGCTTTAAATGTCCTTTTAGAGGCCATGGCGTTAAAATGTATATATATGTACAGGAAGCTTTGGCCTTGGAAGCAAAAGCTCAGTTTATGGGCTGTCATATTTCAGTATATACTTCAAATCCAAATTACTTTAGGAACCTCTGTGCCTTTATGTTGTTGATGTTCTACCTATTTAATCTTTTAATAGATCAAAGGTGTGCTACATTGTTTTTTGTCTCTTACAGGGGAGACGATTTCATAATGGAGTACATGCTCAAAAAGTTGTAAGAGTATAGGTTCTTTAATTAATTACTATATTTTTGCAAGTTGTAAAGAAAATGCTGAGTAGGAAAAGAAGATGTATTTAAAAAATAATAATAAAAAATAATAATAATAATAATAATAATAATAATAATAAAGATAGAGATTAAAGAGATATAATAATCTTGACTCAGTGTACAAACCAGCCCTGATGTAACTGTGAACACTTTTAGTCAAAAACAGCTTCGCTTGGGGGCAGGGTAGCTCCAGTTTTGAGGTCTACGTGGGAGGAATATGAAAACATATCATATGCTCTAATATCTTATGGGTTAGGAGCACATATGCAGCAAGGCAAAAGAAAAAACAGAGTTAGCAGGAAGAATAAGAGTGAAAAACATATATTTCGGACAGATTTGACCTCATAAAAACATTTTTTTTGCTGGATGAGTGGTAAAATTATTGCGTATGTCAGTGGTACATAATATAAAAGGTGTGGCGTGGGTCTCGGTTTGCTGAGCTCTTCAGAAAGTAAATAGGAGTTTGGTGTAGATGTGATGTTATTCCAGCCCACACCGTCTAAAAAAGCCTGCTTAGGTGCTCTCTCATGTCGTTTTTTTTTGTTTTTTTTTGCATCACATGGAAATTTGCTGCATTTCTTATCTCATGCTCCAAATTCATTTCCCATGCTTCCACTAAATTATAAAACCATATCCTTCTGAGTGTGCTTTATGTAATCGCAGCAACAACAAAAAAATGCTGTTTTCTTGCAAAGGGTTTTTGATTATTAGCCTTTAAATAAGTATCTGCCATTTCTTTTTGCATTTATTAATTTCTGATTCATGATGTGCAGACGTCTCACTTTAAGTCCTGCGTTGCTAAGCACATCACACGTCCGTTTCCATAATTTCTATCATTTTACATTCCCAGTAAATTTATGCAAAAGTAACCTCGGGGGGGATTGAGAGCGACTTCAGCATCTTGAACTGACATAGACGTTGCATTTTCTTCTATTTGTAATGCAAAGTCATTCCAGTTCACAAAGGAAGATACATTAATTTGATGTCCCCTTGATAAGAGCATGCAAATAAAGCTCACCAACTAGAGGAGTCATAGCTGAGGTGAAGACGGAGCTGCTCTGGACGACAAACGTAACCCCGGCGCCTACAGACATGGCGATGTACCCCGACAGCCATCCGAATGGATATGGCAGGTCTGCGAGAAAAATTAAATGCACAAAAAATTACAGCCGTCAAGAGTTGCAATCTTCTAAAGGATGAGTTACACTCAAATCTGCCTGTAGGTTAACACAGCCTATAGATCAACAATGAAGCCAAACTGGAATAGAAAACCCAATCTACCTTGTATCGTTCGAAAAATGTCATTGTTTTTTCCATTAACAGCATGAATATAGCAACATATGAAATCCTGCAGAGTGAGCCCACCTGTATTAATGACTTTATGGATGACCTTTGCCATTTGACCTTGAAGCAGAGAATTGAGCAGCTTGACCAGAAGCAGCAGACATGTGCAGAGGACGGCCAGAGAGGCTGCTAGGAGAATTAGCCCAACCGTGAGGTCTGACAGTTCTGTAGAAGCAAACAAATGTCGGCCTGCAAAGAGACGGATCCCACAAACTTTAGGGTGTTTTATTGTCCTGAATTTCATTTTCATATCTAGATATATATTAAATAAATAATAATGTGTTACAGCAAAACTACAAACCCACACTTGACAGGTGTTGAGGATAAGTGAGAGCCGAGACCACAGTCTTCAGCACTTTTATTGGCAGCAGACTGCAGAAAGAAGGACGGAGCTTTACGAAAGCCACACTTAAACCACAGAGTGTATCAAACTAGTCATTACCAAGGCTGTGTCGGCCCGGCACCACTGTTTCACCAGGCTCCGGTTCCTCAGGACCTCATCTCCCATGGCGATCCCTGTGATCACACATTTGTCCAGCTGATGGGAAAAGGATACTTTTTTTTTTCAGCACATTTCAGGGCAGTAAGGTTAAAGAATGGAAAAAAAAATGTATTTTTTTTTATAACATCTACTACTTTAAGAAGTCAGTTTGAGTTCATGTTGCTGTCAATGAAAAGGTTGATATGTCTGCTAGGTAAATATCACCATCTTTTTGATGAAACAGTTTTCCTCTTTGGGAATATCCAACAGTTAACTCCAAAATTTGGAATATGTATGTTAGTGTGGGATACTAAACATTGATCTAACAAAGTCCAATCTAGACAGAAAAGATTTATTTAAATGGTTATTTGGTACAACTATTCAATACTTAAAAAAATAAAATAAAATAAGAGCAAATTCCTGTCTGGAAAAACCTGTTACAGTCGTACTTTATCACTTGTGAATTGATTGTCAAAGTGCGTTGGAAGTTTGAGTTTAAACACAGAAAAGATAAAAAGAAAATCAGAATAAACTGGAGCAGAACAGAGAGTATAATGATGTGCATCACAGACTCATCCTGGCTCCAATGAGGGTTTGTGCTGCCCCCCTATTGTGTGCTGCCCTGGGTAGAGAATCATATGATTCTATATGATTTTATATTCCATGTATTTGCAGAAAAACAGGGGGGAACTCAGGTACATTTCGTTTGAGATTTTGGCGTAGAAAATTTGGTATAAACCCGCAAACCAAATTTTCATCCTGCAATGAGTGACGTGTTGAAAGGTTTTTCTGTTAGTAATGTGTAACGATATAGTGAGACAAAAAAAAAAAAAGACAATCATTTTACCAAAGAACAATGTCTTTAACAGTCATCTCTCTGCGCTCCATTTCTCTGGTGATCTATTACAGCTACCACTGAGTGAAGAACATCCTGATGCTTATTTGTGAGCATCAGGATGTTCCCTACTTTCGTCCTCTTAATATCTCAACACTTTTTGCAAAAAAAACAAACACAAAAACACTCAACTAATGAAGGACGACGTGGCACCAACTGTTTATTGGACAGGATATTTGCAAACGCGAGCAAGCGAAGGTTTTTTTTTTTTACCTGTATAATGAGCTTGGTGACCGGCTCAGTGATGACCTTCAGCAGCTCAGGTGCTTCCTCCCCAGGCTGCAGTCTGAAGACACTGACCAGCCACTGGGACAGATGGGTAATGACCCCGCTCGCCACCTCCAAGGGCAACAGCACCAGCACCGACAGCCAGTTGAAGCAGTCGTGGACTGTTGCTCCGGCGAAGGCCCTGCCGAGGGTCGCAGTCATTAACTCTGCTCACCAAGGTCACCCAGCATCAGGCTGACCATCTCACTTTGAACAATACCTTGTTAATCTGATTTTTTTTTTTTTTTTTTTTTTACAGAGACATGTCTGTTTTGACTGTGACGTTGTTTATTGCAAAATGTTGGCATAAATAATTATTTAATCATGCAGATAAAATAATACGCCATCTGTTCGGCATGTTATCATTTCATAGCAGATTTTTTTGCCGGGGTAGAATTAGACTGGATGCGTGCCATCATTGTCACTTTCCCACTGAAATGGAGCTTATAACGCAGCAAGCAGCTGCCAGCGCTTCCTGTTCCACCTCCTCTGCTTTCGTCCGGGCAGTTTTCTCCTTTATACCCCCCTAATATAATCATTACTTGTCTTTTTTCAGTTTCCTCCTCCCTGCTCCTTGTGTTTCCTTCACTCTTTGACTCACTACGTTTGCTCACTCACCGTTGAAACTCGTTTCTCTCTGCGGCCTGCATCATGGCTACGATGGTGTTTGTGACAGAGGTTCCGATATTCGTGCCCATGATAACTGGAACGGCCAACTTCACTTTCAACACTGCGAGAGAGGGGAGACAGAATAGAGGGTTTGTCACGATTTGCGTCAAGGTCATTACGACGCAGCGCCTCACACACGCACAAAAGGTTTTGCCGCGAAACGTCCAAGTTATCAAGGAGAGCCATTTACGGCAGCAATAATTATGCGACACATGACCCACTACCTTAATGGTGATGAGAGATGGCAGTGATTTCCAAGTGAGAGGAGGCAGCTTTATGGGAGAGGTTAATGCGGAAAGCATCTTTAAACAGAACAGAGGGGACACACTTCATGCAGGCACACATCCTCTAAGTTTGGTCATTATCAGCAATCTTTATTATTATTATTATTATTATTTTTTATCTTTTAAAAGGGGCAGAGAGCCAACTTCTGTAGCGTGATGTCACTGATTTTTACAGACTGAATGTGGACCCTGAGAGCAAGAAACCCTGGACTGAATGAAAGAGAGAAAACTCACAGTTGGCATAGTGCGACCTGACATCATGCAGAGCCACTTTTTCACATTCTCTCACCTTGTAACCACAAGCAACATATCTTTTGGGGACTGTAAGTGGTAGACCGACACAAAATACTATATTTTTGTGATCCAGTAGAAAATCTATACATTTAGTACTTTTTTCAAAGGCTTTTTAATAATAAAATTGAGGCAGGCAGTATTGATGCAATACGTTTTGCTGTATTTACATCAGTAAGTCTGTTTTTATATATATATATATATCTGCAGCTTTGCACTTCTACTCAAATGCTTGGTTGGAGACATGAGTGAGCAACAGTTTTCAGATTTTTAAATTGATTTAGGTCTGGACTTTAACTAGGCCATGGATATATACCTTGATGCAAATCACTCCAGCTGCAAGGCAAATCTACGGCCGGGTCATTTGTAACCTCCAACAGGTTTACTTGCAGGGTGGGCTGCATGATGCTGCCACCAGCATATTTCAGGTGTGTCTGTTCTGCGTTAGTTTTGATGCCCACACACTCCAAATAACATCCTTCAAAAAGTTCTGAGATCTTTGGTCTTTATCTTCGTCCACCCTGACAAACTTTTACCTGGTCTTCATGTCTTTCACAGAGAGGAGAATTTTATTCCTCCCACTTGTCTCCTGTTGTTTTGTTGTCATCATACAGGAGTTGCACTTCCAGCTGCTGCGTTCAACAGCGGAGAGCCTGCTGGAGGTCCTGTTATGACATTTTACGGATTTTGGAGACTTTTAGTATTTGGCCGTTTTCTTTCAGGGTGGATTTGCTTTGACGGCCAAACACGTGTTCTTTTGACAGCTGTTTTGAATGTCCTCCACTTGTGAACTATTTTCCAAACAGAGGGATGACTGATTTCAAATCCTTTAGAGACATCTTTAAACCTCTCTTACCTTGCTATTTACTTTCACTTCAATAGTCAAGAAAACACCAAACTAAATATCTGAGGTTTAAAAAAGGTAAACCTCACTTTTTTATTACAGAAAATATATTTTATATATATATATTTTTTTAAATCCATTCTGTTTTTTATTATTATTATTATTAATTATTATTATTATTATTATAGTTTATTTACATTGTTTCCTCAGCATTGTTAGAATTCATTTTAAATGTTCATTATGTCCAAACTTGCAAGAAAAACACATAACTATAAATGTTTCATAAACATATGTTGACTGGTAGAAATTAGTTTCTGCTGTCAGACCAATTCTCACATCTTTTTTTTTTTTTTCTCTGAGTTTTAATACATAAACTAAGTGATTTTTTTTTCTCTGTACTGGATTTGTTAGAAAACATTTCTTAGTGTGAACCTACGTAAATAATCAGAAAGTTTGGTGCAGGTATGCAGTTAATGCTCTTACACTCACACAGCTTCAACTCAGACAGATTTGATCAAAGCTAATCAAAGTTTAATAAAGGTGCTAAAAATGTTCAAGTGATTGAGAAAATAGAGATTTACTTGCCAGTTTATGTCCTCGGTTATTTTTCAAGATAGAAAATGTAATTGGCTCTGCATCTGCTTAACACCTACTTGTAGCACTGCATTCATATAAATGTGAACAGAATCTAATCTACCTCTTTCACCTCATACATATTTTAATGCGGGCTGATTTCGCAAAATTAATCTAGATTCCATTGTCTCTCCCAATAGCAAATCAGACAACGTAACGCGTCGCCTGCAGTCAGTTGGGTTTCGAAGTCGATTTCTGAGAAGATCTACTGTCGAAAGTGTACAAAGGAAGTTTCCAATTCCCAGGGTTCTTTGCTGTCTGAATATTGGTCCATTTATTGTAATATGTATGCATATTACAATATTTTCCTGGAGATAAGTACACAATGCAGTAAACACGCAATATATATATATATATATATATATATATATATATATATATATATATACATATATATATATATATATATATACACACACACACACCAGGCCGGTTATCTTTCTCTGTTCCCTCCATTTCAAAATCTTATTTTTCAGTTTAAACCAGCTCGTCTTCCGACACACAAACATTTACACAGGTTTCCGTGCGCCTACTCACATCCCGAGGCCACCAGACTGACAACAATGGAGGTGGAGGTGGACGAGCTCTGAACGAGGACGGTGACCAGGATCCCCACCACCAGTCCTGCCACGGGGTTGGACAGCACGACATTGTCCTGGAAAATGTCCCCCGCCACTTTACCTGGTTAAATATCCCACCCACGTACACAGAGGGGAAAGATACAAACACAGACAAAAAAAAAAAAAAACACAAAATTGATTACTCTGAGGAATGACATGGGAGCTGTGCAACACTCGCACTGCTTATTTCCTCTTCTTCCTCAAGAAGGTCACCAGATGATGGCTTGGCAGTAAATGATACAGTAGGATGGTGAATTGTCCCTCACTGAGCCACTCTTTTGTCACACATCAGCTAGCTGAGTCACAGTCAGCCCGCAGCGAGGGCTATACTTACCCCCTGCTAACTGGAAGGCAGAGCTCAGCGTGTCCAACGAGCAAATGAAGAGGAAGAGGAGGATGAAAAGCAGAGGGAACTTTGATAGATTGATAAGACGCTGCTTGATCTTGCCTGGACTCAAAGCTGTGGTGTGCGGAGAGTTTTCTGTTGGAAACAAAGAGCAAGGGAAAGGTTTAGACTCGCATCAGGGCATAAATAGCTTAAGACTGACCTATTTTACCCATAAGAAAAAAACACACAAAAAAAAAAACAGACAAAAAGCAAGTTTCAAGCTAGCGCATCTCCTTTTCATGTGAAATCTGGCTCCTGAATATAAAAATGTAGTACTTGTATGAGAACAAGGCTTTCAAATGTGCAAAATACACAGTGAAGCTGAGTTACCGGGGAGACAGAAAATCCCATTGGCATTTTGCCTCTGTCTTGTACATGTTCCTTATCTACAAGCATTCCCCTTTCTAAGGAAATCAAACCAGCCGCCACACCAAGAGATGAAAGTGTTGATCTCCTCTTGATGCCTATACCTTTTTCTCTGTGTTCACTGCCTCTGTTTATCGACAGTACAGTCGGGAGGCGATTGGGACGTTCATTGTAGCACTCAGAGCTGCCAGTGAGGTCAAGAGTGGATCTGATGCCAGACTCCCTGTCCTCCTCCAGAGAGAGTTTGGGCAGGGAGGAAAGCTGAGCCGCGTGCATGTTCAAGCCTGAGGGAACGCGGAGTTCACATTTAGGTTCCTAGTGGTGACATTAAAGCTTTTCAAAAATATGTACCAATCAGAATCATATACACACTCACTATGAACATGGACGTTGTCTTCAGTTTAGAGTTGTTTTATTATTATTTGAACCATTCTTTTTTCCCAGAAGGAGAGTAAGCAAATTGCATTTCAAGTGATTTTTGGGAACAGTAATTTGTACACAGGTTTTAATTTATAATTTTTTTTTCTTTCAATCCAGACATGGTCAAAATTAAACATACATCCTTAAATACAGACAGTAATTTGCATCTTGATGACACACTTTTGCAGCCATCACCACTTTTGTGGCTGGACATTGATGTTAACCTGCGTGTCTTCCTGGCGTGTTTCCACAGCTAGCTAACATGTGGTTTTGGGGGACCATTGTCCAGCAGGAACATCCAAATGGATTGTAATCGTTGCATGAAAGAAAACAGGTTTAAATCTTCAGGAACAATCAAGAGCCACAAATCCTTGACACAATGACAACTGGAAAATACTGGGGCACCATTGTTATTGTCCACAGTGAAGAAAGTTTAACATCAACATAAACTGGGAGCATGCTGCCAAGAATGAAGCTCCTGCTCCAAAACTGATCCCTTTGAGCAAACATAAAATTTGCAGCTGCCACGTGGATCTACTAAATGCTGGAGAAAGTTTTTATTGTCACACAGGACAAAGATTTCTTGCTGTTAGCTATGATGATCAAACAATACATGGAGAAGAAAAGTAAAGATTTTTAAATCTATGAACACTGTTTTTTTTTGTTTTGTTTTTTTATCAAGCATAGAAATATTTATGAGTTTTGTCAAAATCAAAAATTATGAACAAAGCATTATCGGTGCTCAGCTCAACTGGTTGAAGTAGGTGGTGCAAATCAGTTTTCCATTTTAGTCAGAAGATAATATTTCCTTCAGTGAAGCTGGAGAAAATTACATAAAGGTTGGTGGAAGCTGAAGGTTTCTCCAACCTCAAAATCCAACATGGCTGCTTCCTTACACAGGCAGCCAAAAACTGTCTATTTGCACCCCTGCTGATTCATTTCTCATTAAATCATTCAGACATCTTCAAAACATTACAACCACCTTTAGTAAACATGTTGCTACAGTGTTTGTACACAAACACAAACATTATCAGCTCAAATTGCTAACACCAGGTAGCGATATCGTTGACAACTTCAGTTAACATGGTTTGGTTCGATGTCATTTCCAGACCCAGGTTCTCACATTAGAGGTATATAAAAGGTGGGCACTTGTTTTCCATCGTTCACTACGTGAAAGTAAATCTGATAAATAACTAAAGCCAAAAATCCTTCCACCATGGAAGTATATTATGGTCTTCTTGTCCATGATGAGTGTATGTAAAACTGGAAAAAGGCTTGAATGTTTCCACGGTGAGTGAGACCTGTGCCCCGTCCACAGGGCTCTGCAGCTGAGGAGGGAGGAAACATGTGGCACTCTGAGAGCCGTGTAAAGATGCTCAAGTAATTAAAATCACAGGATGGCACCACTGCAGAGGAAACAGATGAGAGTGAATGTGTTTATCAGCCACCTGCAGCAGTAAAAAGAAATCAGTGGAGACCAGCATTTCTCGTATATGAGCCCATCTCTCACAGAGGCGCCGAGACCGGCAGCAGACAAGCAATTACAAAAGAACAAAAGCCACCCACATTGTTTCTAAGTGGCACCTTTTTCTTGATTTGAGGTCAGATCGAGTGCCACACCTCCTGGCAAACGAAAGCGTTTTCAGAATTGGTGAGAAAACATCGGCATCAGTGTAACTTGTCCCCTGTTTCTACTTTCTCAAAGGCACCCTTCACCTCTCAAAGAGCTACGTCTGCCTTTAAAGAATTTCCTATTTTAAGCTTAGAGTGCCTGCTTTTCCCTTTTTACACATCAGCTGTATTTTAGAGCCTTCGAGGCAGAGAAAAAAAAAAAACACAAAAAAAACTAAACGTGTCCCTTAAAAGCAAAGAGGATGGAAGTAATTACAGCAGGCAAAATCACAGTAATTACAGTCACTGCATCATTAGCATTGTATGCGACATCTTCCAGTAGTTCCTAATGGGTGGAGAGGCCTTGTTAGCATATGTACATGTATGTCTGTATGTGGGAGGGGGTGAAGCAGCTTCTACGGATCACAGCTAAATAGTCTCTGGTAATATTTCGTGTTGGTAAACGAAATACTGAATGTTACCTGGCAGCTCGCCACTCGATATTTTTCATCCGCTAGCAAGTTTTTCTTTAAATCTGGTCAGAGAAAAGCATCGAAATTTCAAAGGTCTTCCTGCAGCAGGGATGCTACAGATTTGCTCGTTGAAAGACAAATAATGAGGTACGGCAAGTTTTAGGCCCGTACAAGTGTTGTTATAAAAACTTAACAATGTATGTCTAATCTGAACTGATGGGACATGAGTTGTAAAATTGTGAGCAGCAACAAAAAGCATTGTATGAACACTGTATCACTTCTTCTGCTCCTTCTGGACATTGGACAACCACACGCTTTGCTCTGAACCAGAAAGTCCTGAAGAAGAATGTCTGCTCATCACCCACTGACCTCGAGTTCAAGCACACATGGATTATTCTGCAAGGCAATGATTAAAAGCACCCCAGCAAGTCCACCTTTGAGTGGTTTCCAAAAAGGGGAAGTAGTTGTCTTGTCTAACTCTGAACTAAAGTTCAATTAAGATGCTGTGTCGTTGCTTTAAATAGGCCATCAATGCACGCTCTGATGGGGCTTAATTCCTCCTCGATGATAAAGAACATATTGCTGATTATACCAAATGTTTGATGGCACAATAAGTTACTATTTATAACTTCAATTACATTTTCACAGATTGGTTTGAGTAGATATTTCCCTTAGTAAGCGAAATCATTTGAAAACCTCATTTGGATTAAAATCTGCACATTTAAGTGCAACCAAAACAGCAAAAGTAAGGAATATGTAAGGAAGCAAAACCTTTTCTTGCACACCGCTCCACGTGAAAAAAATAAAATAAAAATAGGTAAATCAAGCTTGACACAAAGATCATATTTATTGATATTGTTTCTGAAGTGCAGCCTCTTACCTGGTGTCAAACAGCGTCTGTGTGAGACCTGCAAAGCAAAGCATCGAGCTGGGGAGTAAATCATCTTTAAATACGCTCTCAGACCTGGAAGTGTTGAGAGGGGCACCTGCTCCTTTGGTGATTAACTTGAGACAACACTGTTAATCAATAACACAAAGAGATAAGTTAATGATGCATTAGTAAAAAGGAAAAAAAAAGATGGGTATGTAGTGCACTCTGTAATGATTGATGCTCTCTCAGACTGTCTAATTTTCACTTGATTCGGTGCCAGATAAGGGGATTTAAAGACGAAGCTGCCAGTTTGATTCTCTCCAACATGAGAACACTGAGAGAAACCTGACCCCTAGTGGTGAATCTGGAGGAATGCCGCTGACTGTTTTGGTCCTCACGTTCTCACACAGCCGTTTTCATCCTCCTGTGGAAAACAGCGAAGACTGGAGACGGTGTATTAGCTGACTGTTTCTTTTTCAAGATAAGCCAGTGAAAGTAATTCAAATGTTTGGAGAGCAATGTGCTCTCAGCTGGTACAGGTACTCCCCTCAACCCTGGGCCCTTAAGTTTTAAGTATGTTTTGATTGGACAAGAGCTATCAGGGGGATTTTTTATTTTTTATTTTATTTTATTTTATTTTTTTGACAGCCTCACACACAGACATGCACATTTGCCCTTACACTCCACCGCTCACAGACGGTGTGTTCTTCTCAGAAACAGAGTTGGCCTATGTAACAGGGTGAGATAATTATTAATAATTAGTTCAGCTTGAGTTTTCCCCCTGTCAGCAGTTCTCCTAACCAGATCTGGCGAACCTGCTGACCTCATGCCTGCATCCACAAACCCAGTGGAGCAGAACTCAACAACACCCTCAGCAACGCTGAGATGATGAGAGCAGGGACAAAAAAAACAAAAAAAAAAAAAAAAAGGAAAGAGACACATGAGACAAGCTCTGTTGTTGGCGTTTCTCAGCCATTTGTTGACTACAGGGGTGAAATCCTTCAGATCTGGTAACACTGCAGGCCGAGAAAGAGTGAAACACGGATATCCACTCACACGCAGTCACTTCTAAAGCCACACCGCCCGGCTAAAGCTGTGCAACAGCTCTGAGGCCCTTTGGTTAGAAAGCCCTCCATACTGCAGTTAATCCCCTCTCCAAATGCAGAAGTCGTTGAGAGGATGCTGCCACCTGTCATCCCGGGGATAAACAAACCGAAGCGACAGCGTCTTCATCCTGCCATTCTGCACACACCTGTCGGTCGGCCATCAGTCCAGCTCTAAGCTCGCTCTTAAGAAGGCCAGATAAAGCTTTAGCAAAGCGCACAGCCCTTTTTTTTTTTTTTTTTTTTTTTTTTTAAAGGGGAGGGATTTGCCGTGTGGGATACTTTGCAGCATAACAGGACATGGCATTGCTTTGGCTAATAATTCATTGTGGATTGAGGAAGCTAAACAGATTGCTCAAGTGCTTCTCTTCTTTTTCATCCTGAAAAATAACTCAAGTTTAATAACAAATGAAACCCATTAGTCAGAAGCAACACTCTGGAAAAGTTTTGCTCTAAACTGTTGACATCTGCATTGCAAAATAAGCTAGATTTATTGTAATTTTTTTAAGTATTCTTAAAGTTTATCATCTTCCATCTATACAATGTTTCAACAAATAAAAATCTTAAAAGTCCTGCATCGAGCCCCTCTTCTTTGATGCCCTTAAATAAAAACCCAACATAATTATTTGTCTTCAGAAATCATATAATTTCAATTTAAATAATAGGTTGGAACAAGAACAGGTGATAAAGTTCTATCTTGTCATAGATTTTCAATAGCCTGGGCTTTGACTGGGCCATTCCAGTTTAGTCCATTGTAGTTCTGGCTTCATGTTTGGAGTCGCTGTACTGCTGGGAGGATAACCACCTTCTCATAATCAATTGTTTTGAATCAAAGAATTCCCACAGCATGATGCCGACATCTCCATGTTTCATGTGCGGATGGCGCTTTCATGGTAATGCGAGGTGTTGGTTTTCCGACACACAAGGAATTTTGCTTTCGAAAAAGTTCAGCTTTGGACTCACCTGTTGAGAATTCCTTCTTCCGTGTTTTTCTTGTCCCATGTATGACCTTCCCTTCATCGTATTTGCAGATTTTCCAGCTGATGGAAGATCACTTTTATTTACACACAAAAAGTTCACTGTTCTTGCCCTGCTCCCGTAATAATGCACCAAGAGTTTTATCATAGATCCCCGAATTAAGTCCCCGAATCGTTAAATTCAAATGTATTTGTACCCTGCAAGACTCAGCGGCAGTGAATAAAAACAGAAAGAAAAAGCATGTATCCAACAACATCGCTTTACTTTTACTACACACATGTATATATCAGTCACAGCACAATGACACAGCTTCATCAGATGTGGACTTTCGATAAGGTGGAGTCAGCATGAAATTCACAGCTTGAGTAGATTCTAGCCACCTATGATCATAAATGTTCAGCACTTTCTTTGTTGACACATTTTATATGCGCAACTTTGTGGCTCGATGTTGACGCTGTTTGTCACTTCAGCTCTTCTGTGGAGGACGAAGGCGTGTCAGAGCCATCGGGACGCTCCTGCAAAACCAGCAGAGAATTACCGACGTATCAGAATAAATGTTAATTACCACTGCAGTGGTAATTAAGACACTGTAATGGTAGAAAAGAGCAAGTGAACAAATACCACACAGGAAAACAAAACCTACCTTCACTTTCTCCAGATCAGGCCTGCCTGGCAGTGACTTTTGTGAGGAAAATGCCTGTTAAAGAAGATTTAAAAAAATTTAAAAAAGTAAGATCAGCTCTAACCAGAGACCAAACGTTAACGTGTCCAGCTGCTGCTCACCTTCCTGGACTGCTGCATCTCCTCTGTGGATTTAGACCTGTTCTTCATGTGCTTCTGCGGAGAGGTAGAGGTGGGACACTATACAGAGGAAGGATCTGGTTAAGACCAGGTCTGCATAACAAAATGCTGTAAGAGTCTTTTATTTTTTATTTTTACATACCTCATTTGTCTTCTGCTCCATGGCTGAGTGGAGATTGTTCCAGCTCAGTGCTAAAGAGTGGCCTTGTGCTTTTGAAAAGTCTTCTTGTAATGCTGAAAGAAAAAAAAAACATTTTTATTTATCTATTTATTTGATTTTATTTGCTGTACTGTAAGAAGTGATTAAATGCTCAATCAAACAATCTATAAGCAAGATTCTGAGTGTGTAGTTGCAGGTTCTTGCCACTAGATGGTCTTTCTGACTCAGTTTTTCACTGCCACCCTCATTTTAATCACTGAAGAGTTACCAAATGAATTATTTCCGGTTTGTAATGCTCACAGTCACAATGGGAAGCCAACAGATTTTGCCTATATTCTTTCACTTCATTTTTTTGTAAACAAAATTAATGCACACTTTATATTACTCATTGAAATATGTTTTCAATTTAAAAAGACATCTTTTCTTACGTTTTCTGAGTGATGCTTGTAGCTTATAGTATGTGAAATGTCTACAGATTTACAAACAGCAGCATTTGAAAACACAGGTATAAATTTAAAGTCTAACCCAAATGCTGCGTTTAATGTGCATGGGAATCTTCATCTTGAGAGGGCACAATCACCATCCTGATTACAGCCAATAATTAAATTCATACATTTTATATACTAATCCAGCCTTTTTTTTCAGGACAATGAATTCTGCCCTGGTTTTAACATTCTGCAGAGGAACAGTAAACATGCAGACGCTGCAGTTCCTCTTGATGCTTCAGCAGGGAACGCCGACCTCGACGATTCAGGTCCAACTCGTTCACACGGAAACCTCACAGATGCATAAATCGTATCATTTAAACTTTTACACTCAGATGACATGATGCATCATTTCCAGGGCTCTCCACAACTACTGGACTCAAGTTAAGATGTGTAAAAGGAAAAAAAAAAACTCTAAATAAATTTGTTTTGCAGGAGCAAAATCTGACACAGAAAAATCAAACATTTATTTGAAGCATCTGAGTGAAAGATCTGTTAAGCAAAAACAATTTTTTTTTTTAATAACTGGATGGAAGGGGAGGTTTGTGGTTGTGGAGACGATCGTCTCTTTCAACATTTCACAAAGCTTCCTCATCACATTGAACAACTTTCCCGCCCAGCTCACTGGAAAAACTCGTCTCCAGCATGTCTGAACACTTTTTTTTTTTTTAAGTAATCATCAAAAGCCTCGGGGCGGCTCGCTAACTAGGACATTTCTCTGACACTTTTATTACTGCTATGGATGTTTGATCACTTTACTAAAAACCCGTTTGAGTTTAAATGTTTTCAGTGAATTGTCTAATATGCTCTTTTGTCTCTTGCTCCTCTTTCTTCGACTTTTTCAAAATATTTCATCAACATAAGAGACAAAGAACTAGACATCCAGGCCCCATATTGTTTCCTCAGCAAACACACTGTTGCTCGTTGATTTTGCCCAGAGGCTCAAAATGAGTTGGTTTTTCCAAAAAACATGACAGAAGGACGACCAGGTGGAGCAAAACCTCTAAGTTTTTGCTTACAGGTACCAAGGTAATGGAAACATCTGACCACATTTAGTTTACTCTTTTAAAAAGTTTCAAACTGTCTTGTTCAGTAAGATTTTTTTCTTGGGAATCTTATTGATTTGGATCTTTTAAGACCCATTTGGGTTTTTGGTTCTTTTATTATTGTGTGCTACGTTATCTTCTCTTTTTTTTACCGTTATGGTACTTTTGCTTTTATTTATAGCTACAGTGGTTTGTGACAAATTTCTCAGTGAAAAGCGTGTAATAATAAATGTGTTGCTTAACTTATTTTTGCATTCTGAAGTTGTACTCAGAACCAGTTTTCTACCCAGCAGCATGAATTGCAAACACTTGTGATTTTTTTTTCCCTTAGTCTGAAGATTTTCCTCTATTGCTTTTAATGATCTTCTGTTTTATGGCAGATGTGCATAAAAAAAAAAATCAATCTTAGTCTCATAAAGGTTAAAGTTTGTATTTTTCTAAATGTTTCAGTTCGTGCCTTTACTACAGCAATTAAATATGAACTAGATTTAAAATTTTAATCGCTGTAAATTTCATTTACAGCAATTAAATTTAATTGCTGAGATTTTTTTTTTTAACAAAAAAATGTTCAGGGGTTTTAACAACTGTAATAAGTTTCTGTAATAATTCACAGCTTATAACTTAATTTTAATAGATTTGTATTATTATGGGACCCAAAAAAAACCCCACAAAAATACTTTGTTTTACTTTTAGCTAAATGGCAATCTTATTTAATACGTTCAGATAAAAAGACATTACTACTTTTATGTTTTCCTGTGAGCTCACAAACGCTAACAAACTATCTGAACATTGCACCTTGACAGCTGGATTTTTGAACTGTTGAGGAGATTAAAAGGTTTTTGAAGGGGAACATTTAAGATTCAACACACTGAACTGAAACAATCTGAGCAGCGGCTGTAGCAACTTAAAGGCAGAATACCAAGCACCGTAATTTGTTCCAAAGTTACAGAGGACAGAATATAATGAATGGATTAATCACGCATTCAACTTTCCAATTGTGTCTGTAAAAGAAAGTTTAAAATAATGCTCACATTTAGTTTAATTACCTCATTAAAAACCTGAAATCATTATGCAAGACATTATGCAAATAGGGAATAGAAATTCTTGAGATGCAGATTATAATGATTTTATTTGCTTTGGAGACATTTGAAAGGAGGAAAGGTTTTCTAAAGGGGGGGGAGGGGAGAACATTCACTCATGCACACCAATGCAGCACAAACAATGAGTCCCAGAAAAGCCGAAGTCTACAGTGAATACAAAGGAACAGTCACAGCCAGAGGCACAGCTGGCGTCAGGAGCCTTGCTGCCAAGGGACTAAACACCTTGGGGTTTAGGTCACGGTGTGAGAGACGGTTTCTTTACTTCAAAAAAAACAAAACAGACCGACAGTCTCTGTTCTCTCCGTCAGTGCCCGCAAGGTCCATCTAAAACGCATGGGTGAAATGTTATTGGCAGGTCAGAGTTCACACTTGAAGATGTGGTTTATTGCCGACGTCTACAGCATCTAGATCCGTCTGACAGATAAGGAAACTGTCAAAGTAAAAAAACTTCCAGTAGGTCTGTATTTCTACAGCTTTTCATTTCAACGTAGGACCAATATTAGCAGATTAAGAATAGCTTCTGAGCTCAGGTTCTCTGCAAAGCTGCTTCGGTGAAAAAAAAAAAAGCTAACATTTTAGCATTCCTGTAAAAGTACAAATAATGCCTTTTTTCCATCAAGGTGAACTATTAAGTTTTATGAGAAATGAGCACAATTTGTGCTCGCACTTAGAGCACTTAACAGTAAATCTGTCATTTATTAGGTGCATAAAGTTTTATGCAACTCTTTAAGTGAGCCCTCATAAGAACATTATCGGAATAAAAAGGAAAAGGATTTGACTAAAACCCAACCATCACCCTGCTGCTCTGTTCAGGAGCTTATAAAAAATGAATGGCGACCGATCGACAGGAGTCCCTTCACCCACTGTGACGACTGACGTCAGTGGTCACAGCCGGTTAGCATTCGATGCTGCAGGGAACTCTCCAACACAAAGGCATTATGAAGTGGAATATACACGGATTGGACCTGCCTGCTATCTAAAACATGCCAACACAAGTGACTCAGTGGAGTGCTCTGACTCTGTTTTTTTTTTTTTCCCCCACACACAGGCTTCAGTTAGCACACCCAGGGGTAAGAAACCAGCAGCTGAGCTCTGCACACTTCCTCTAAATGTGCATTACGGGGCTTTGAAGGAGGCAGAGGAGAATAACTTCAGCCTTGATGGAAGGGCAGGCATTCAGTAAGTCCTAAGTGCCGTCTCTGGCCAGCTCACTCAGGGAGATGACCTAAATAAAAACGATTTGTTGGCTTGTTTCACTTTCCGTTTGTCTCCATAAAGAAATTCTCCACTGTATGCAAAGCAAACATACACAGAGGTTGGACTGAGGGAAGGAAAGTTCTCGTTTTCAAAGTAGTACAGAAACATATTGAGAAACATGTCACTGATGAAAGCTTTTGAGCAAAGTGCAAACATTTAATAGTCGCCATTAGCTTAGGAATGGATAAAAATTCAAGCAATGGTCTGCAAAAGTAAGTAGACATCTAATAATGTTGCATTATAGACACTTCTTACAGCTGTTATTTACATCAATAGACTTTTATGTGACAACAAAAATCAGAGCATAATTTTGAAGTGGAAAGAATTACACTGTTTTTGAAGATTTGTTGTTGCAAATAGTCTGAAAACAATTTATTTCAATTAACCCCATTTATTTTTGATTGCTCTAAAAGAAAATCCCCTTCACAAGTCATCTAATCCACCATCTCTACCACAAGTTTCATGTATCATATATTTTAAACCAACTGAATATTTAAAGTGGCAACACAAAGGCGCAAATGGGAGCAATGGTGCTTTGCAGCAACAAGGTAAGGAGTTTGAATCCCAGTCTGAGGTCTTTCTGCATGGAGTCCACTCTCCAGTCGCATCCTTTAGCTTAATTGGTGTGTGTGTGTGTGTGTGTGTGTGTGGAGGGATGGATGCATTTCTGTTGCTCTCGCATGTACCCTGGCTCCTGCCTGATGAAGGAGACCCTACAAGGACAAGCGAGTGCAGACAATGGCTGGATGGAATATTTACAGCTTACCCTTTGATAAAAAATGCTGTACAACTTTTACACAGAAGCTGCAGATGAACTGTGAGGATATGGAAACGCTATGGCCTCTAAGAGCCAAATATCTGAAATCAAACATCACTTTGATGTATCGCACTCTATTGTCCAAGACAAACCCAGAAAGCTTCATGCTACCTTTGTCCTTGGAGCATCTTTTCTGAGAATTAATCGGAAACCGTTTTTCTCAGTCAAGAAATGTTTCCAAAATTTGACTTCTGCTGTCAAAAGCTGAAGATGATCGTCAACGCCTCTTTCTGACTGTGTCTTAATTGTTGCGACAACCTCTTTAAGTGACTGAAAAGTCGTAACCATCTCCAGTGACTACAGAATGAAGCTGCAAGGCTTTTCACTAACAAAACGAGAGAGACTCCTATTTTACTCTTCTCACTTTGG